GAAGATCCTGGTGGTCCAGGGTCACTGAAGCCCATATGGGCTGAGTGCTGCTGGGCTCGGGATGATTGGCAAACTGTAAGATGCCTCTACAAAGGCTCAGAGGACAGAGTCCACTCACTAAAGGCATCAAAACATGGACATTCTGAGCCCCAGTTCCGTCTGGAAAACCATTTCCCATGACAACCAGAGGTGACTGGCAGCATTCACTCTCCAGGCATCCTGAATAGGAATGCTTAGAGAGAGGGTCACAGTGAAGTGGAAAGAGCAACAGCTTTGCAGTCAGAGGACCTGCACGTCCCCGTGGTGGTGCTTCTGTGAGCCCTGGGACCTTAGACAGACTTTAAAGCCTCTGACTGTAAGATGTATGCTGGGTGGGGTTACAGGAAGACCCATTCCCTGATTCATCTGACCTCCCTGTATGGAGCAGCTACCCAGCAACCTGAGATCTCAAGCACCAGTGTCCTGAGTACCCCCCATGACGCTTTCTGTGAATCTTAGGTTGGGTTGCTCTTAAAACTGGGTGGTGGCAGAGTCTCTCACCTAAAGGATGAGACAGCACCTTGGTGGCTGAGAACTGGTTTGGAGGTTCCTACAGGGCTGCAGGCAGCCTTCATGACTCTCAGGTCCTCAGATACTCACTTTCACCTTCCCAAGCAGGTTGGACTCTTTCTTGGACCACAAGGTCAAGGCATGTATCCCCTTGCTAGAGAAGGATGGGAGCATAACTGGGTGGGTTTGAGCTTCTTGAGGACCCAGAACATGTGTTCCGTTCAGTCTTGTACCTGAGGCCACACCATGCAGCCTGAGTCCAGTAAGGTGTCTCAGGGGGCTTCCAGAGTGCACTGCGGAATCCTGCATGGTATTAATTGGTACCAGGCACACATCTGTTCACTTGCTGGGCGTGCCAGACGTGTGGAGGTCACAAGCCACATCATAGGAGAGTCCTGCCCAGTAAAACTCAAAGCTCGTGGGGAATACAGGGCATGCCAGTTGCAGACAGAGAGTCTGGGGAAGGCAGAGAGAGGATACCTGGGTTCCAAGAGAAACGACTCTGGATGGGGCCAGAGGGCCTTGAGGAGGCAGCAGCAGTCTAGCCGGGTGGTGATGGTGTAGCTTATCCTGGACCAGGTATTTCTCCACTTGGCTTGAAGAAAGAAGGACCAGAAACCAAAGCAAAGGCAAACAGAGCACTTTGAATGTCCCTAGGCAGTAAGTACATTCTGGTAGGAATGGAGGTATTAGAGGTTGGAGGTATTAGAATTCTGCCAAAGGCCATGGAATTAGAACTGGAAAGAGCTGCCATGTGTGTGCCCACAGCATGGGCCATCCTGTTGTTGCTGTGTCGTCTTTGAGGTGGTAGGCAGAGGTCAGCAATGAAGACCACTTTCTTGAAGAGGCTCACAGGGCGCCATCCAGCTGCAGGCCAGGGAACTGTGTGCTCAGTGATAGTAGCATCTGACTGCAGTGGTGGCCCTGAGGAAGACACGGGACACAAACAGTAGTGCAGTGCAGGCCAGTGGGGAGTAGGGCTCCATCCAGAGATAAGGAACATGGAGCCGGGGAAGAGGGGACTGCATGCCGGAGGACGAGCGCCTGGTAGGGAGGTAGAGCTTATGGTGGTGGTGATGGGGAAGTGGGTCAAGAGGAAAAGGGGGAAAAGGGACAGGCAGGTTGTCTCCTTGGAGGAAGGCATGAAAGAAGGCTGGGGCTGATTTCTGGGAATTGATCCCAGATGTTCCTCAGGTTTCCATTATGGATGAGGAGGTGTGATAGGAACACAGTGCATAGCCCCCTCCCATGGTAAATGTGCCCATCATAAATTCTCCAAATTACCTGGAGTGTGCGGCCCAGGGCCTCCTGCGTTCCACCGTGAGCGGGGCCAGTGCACCCTCTGCTGTCAGACATGTGGAACTGCATAGGTGGGCTTGCCGGTGACTGGGTGGGGTGGGGGGCTGGGGAGGCTATTTGTGCTTCACAGCTAGCACTGGCGTAGAAATGCCACAGCTTCCTTTTGAGGACTGATGAGTAGCCCTATTGTCGACTTGATCAGGTTGAGAAATGCCCAGAAATCCATAAATCACATGTTGGAGAGTGTCTGTGAGGGTGTTTCCAGGGATGATTGACAGGTGGGACAGCAAACTGAGGGGAGACCAGTCCTGAAGCGGGGCGGGACCTTCCATTAGGCTGGGGCCCTGGTGGAACAAAACCGGAAAGAGCCGGAAGAAGCAGCCAGTGCATGCTCTCTCACCCTCCCTGCTTCCTGTCTGCCATGAGGTGAGGATCTGTCCTCCTTCGTGCCGTGCTGCCATGACATTTCCTGGTCTCTGGCTCTCTTTCCCAGTCTCTTTCTGCTCCCCTCACCTCTCCCGCTCCCGTCATCTTCACTTCTGTGGCCCCTCTGATGGAGACTCATTGTCAGCGTGCCGTGGTGCCTGGGTGCTGACAGGTGGCCTTCACTGCTGTCCCTGTGCCCACCCAGGCCCTCTCTAACCCCTGCTACTACCCTTATTGCAGCTGGAGGACTCTTGTCTCCACATTCACTCATCCTTGTGAGCAAGTGTGAGGTGGTAAGGAACAGGGCCTTGGGTACAAGCTGAGCCCTCTGCTTTGAGGCAGACGTTGTAAAGTGGCCCCTGGTCATCACGTCTACCTTCTCTCTGTGCCCTGAGAAGGTGCTAGGCTCCAGGTGACATGTAGAGAGCTCTGCCCTGGAAATCAGGGGACCCTGGTTTTTGTCCCATTGCATTATTCAGTTCTGGGTGGTTCTGGACACAGCACACCCCTGCAGCTGTCAGTGTCTCACCTGTACTTGGAGGGTGAGGTCCCACAGACTCCAAGACCAAGACCAGCTCACCCAGCCTGGGAACTGAGGGAGAGGCTGGCACACTTCCCAGTCTTGCTCAGGCCTGCAGGTAGCAGGGACAGGGTGAGAGTTAAGGGTCAGGAGGCCCTGGCTGTCATGCCAGTGTCACATGCTCAGGTGGGGTTACTAAGTGGCTTCTTGTCCTCAGGTCTCATTTTCCTCATCTGTATGCAAGCCTGCCAACCACACACAGAGAAGAAGTAAGAGCAGGTTTGCAATCACTTGGCAGAGAGAGAATGCAGGCAGCTCTTCTCTTGATTCCCCCAAGTCTCTTGTGATGAAAGGGCTTTTGAAAGAAGTCATACATACTTGCGCCTGAAACTAAAAGTATGGACATCAGTTACCTGGATATGTGAAATAATTTGAGAAAGGTAGAAATGTATGATTATGTTTACATTGATGCAAGATGAGAAAGAACCATAAAGTGCAGAGCTGAGAGAGGTGCTGGAACCCCCCACCTCTAGGTTCAAATCAGTGGATTGGGGAGGGATCCTTGGAAGTTGGCTGAGAGTCATTGGGGTCACCACTTGGGAATCTAAGCTGTGCTGCTCCTCTCCTGTCCCCTGCTTGCATTGAGCAGGGAAGCATTGGTTTTTTTTCCCCAAGTTTAAGAGAGAGACAGAGACAGAGACAGAGACATACTCCAGGAAGCCTGCTGACCCCAAGAAGAAGGGGCACAGACACATGAAGGAGAAAATGCTACAGTGTCCCACCTGTGGCCTGTTGTCACAGGGAACAGCACCAGCATCCACAGGCAGGCCACCTGAGACAGCGCAGCAGTAGGGAACAGAAAGCCATGGTGCTTTTCTTGTATGACAAAAGCATGTGGAAAGAGGAGCAACCATTGTAACAAAGAAATGAAAGACAGAAATAGTGGTTAGGGCAATAAATTCCAGGGAAATACAGGGAGAGTTCAGAACAGCTTTTTTTTTTTTTTAAAGAACAGTTTTCATGTGTTGGCTTTATGTAAGTCAGAAAGTATCATCTGGGGCCAGACTGAGCTCTGGGCTGGTCCTGGGGACATGATGGTGAAAGAATGACCACACTGCATGTCCTTCTGTGAACAAGAAAGAAAATGGGGCCGTGCATACAAATTGAATTAAGAGAGATGAGCATGCGAGCATGCAAGAGGAAAATGGGGCAGCTAACTAGATGAAAAGGTCAGGCAGGTGACACTGAAGTTGAGCCCTAGAGGGAGCTGAGCAGCCAGCAGAGGGGACAGCAAGCAAGGAAGAAGGAAACTGTGGCTCCCTGCCACTGGGGAGGAGACTGCTGATGTCAGTGAGTGCCTGTCTGAGCATCCACACTTCTCCGTCACCTGAGTTTTTGAGGCCACCTGGAAGGCTGCTGACAGCTAAGAACACTGTACCTGAGCTAACCCATGAGTGGGGCCTCCAGCATCTGTGGGCACTGGCTCAGGGAAGCTAGTGTGTAGGTAGGAGGAGAACACGGGCACTTACTGTCCACCATAGGTCGGTGTTTCAGATGTATCATTTCCTTAGTTGTAAGTATCTTTTGTGTAGTAGGCTATCATTGTTCCCATAAAGCAGAGTGAACAGAACAGTCTCAGAGAGGCAAAGTGAGTTACCAGGTACTAGGTAGTAAGAGATTCAAGGCTGGCTTTGTATGAACATAAGCAGATGGATGGAGATGGGATGGCTGTGAGGATGATGGGTGTTTGTTAGCAACCAGTTCTTGAGGTCTGTTCCAGGCACTGGGGACATAGTAGATGTTCGTATTTATTTATAAGATGAATGTGTGGTGCATGAGATGTGTCTGTAGTCTTCTTCTTGTGTACAATCTCTACCTACTGCTTTGACCTTCATGATGAGGAAAGCATATAGCTCACAAGATCCGCATGCGTGGCCACCCCTGGGTTATAGACTTGGAAGCTCAGCGGGAGCTATGAGTCTCACCTCCACACCTTGACCCGAATGCAAATCAACTCTAGGGCTGGTGCATGCATTTGGCCCTCCTGTGTGCAGAGGTGCCTGGTGCAGCCTGGAGCTGAGTGCTGTCAGAGGCTCGAGGCTTTTGATTGTCCTTCATTTCCATGGAGGTGATCATTTCATTTCCTTGACAGTGGCCATCACTATCCATTATTTATTTATCCACATTCCTGTTCCTTCTTTCTCAGGGGGAGCAAGGCCTGGATGGATTCCCTGGGAAGCCTGGGGAGACAGGAGAGCAGGTAAGTGGGTTTTAGGGCTGATGGGCTAGGTTTTGTGAGAGCACAGGAATGGGTGGACCCTGATATGGGCCACTAGGCCCTTGAGCCCTCAACTTTCTTCTTGTTCAGGTGAGGGCAACAGGGGCGTTGTGACTAGACCAGTGCCCAGAGCGACTGTGGGAACTCCTGGGTGGAGGCAGTCTCACTGCTTTCAATGCTGTCACTGGTGTAGAGACCACAGTTGGTGTGCAAGTGTTCCGAGTGGTGTACACACAGGGTAGTCATTGCAAGCTTGTCCAGAGAGCAAACGGTTAGAAGGAACCCAGGTGCTCCACGCTAAAAACTCATTGGATAACTCAGGTGCATTGACATGGGAGTATGAGATGGAGCTTTGCAAATTCATCATTGTTGATGGAGACTGTCTGTGAATCATACTGCTAAATGGGGAAGAATATGTCTGTGACTTATACAGACAGGGACTGCCTCTGGAGCACAAGTGGGTACCAGTGTGTGACCTGTTAGGAATTGGGTTACACAATAGGAGGGAAGCTGGGGAGAGGGAAACAAGCAAAGCTTCATTGATATTTGCAGCTGCTCCTCATCACTAGTATCACTACCTCAGCTCCCCCTCCCACCAAATGAGCATCTGCATTGGATTCTTGCAGGAGCACAGACCTGCTGTGAACGGAGTATGAAAGGGATCTAGACTGGGTGCTCCTTTGAATCTTCCCCAAACCATGCCTGCGTCCCTTACCTCTGCCCTCTATAAAAAAGTTGTCTTCCATGAAACTGGTCCCTCTTGCCAAAAAGGCTGGTGACTGAGGTTCTAAGGGGATAAAAAGAAAACTGTTGTCTCAGTTGCCCCAGAAGAGGACTAGATGGCTGGCTGATATGGTGGGAAGGCAACTTTAATCCATTTAAATTTGTATCATATAATCATGTCATCTATCCTAAAAGAAACTTAAATATTTAAATGAGTAAAAAATAAAAATTCAATAAAACCTAAAGCCATACTGAACACTGTTAGGAAAATGCTTACCATATTGGATGGTGTAATTTAACGTAATGTGTCAGTCAATATGTTAATGTAAATACAAATATAAAATAAAGCACATATGTTAATTATGTTTAATCTATAATTGTAATAAATGTGTCAATTTCAGTACACTGTAGTAATATAGATTAAATAACTATCAATAGTTAGTTATTTCCGTTACCAAGAAATAATATCTAGATTTACAGTTATTTCACTCAGCAAATTGGATTCCTATGTTTTTATATCTCTCCTTCCTTCCCTAAGCGCTATAACATAAACAGAAAACCATGTTCTTATGTATTTGCCAGGATCATGACTCAAAGAGCAGTTCAGTAGTCCACAGCTTGAATGTCCAATAATTGATTCAGTTGCTTAAAAATAGGCAGGCAAAAGACAAATAGTTGTGCTGCCTCTGGCCAGACCTGGCGCTTGCCACTTGGTGCTGGCCCAGAGAGAAAGAAGGCTCTTTCCCTGACAGGGTGGGAAGCACAGTGGACTAGCGCAGAGCTCAAGTTTGCTGGTCTCAGGGGAGTGTCTGAAGATGCAGAGGGCTCACCCTGGGTCCTGCTGTGGGGCCTGTGGCTCCAGTAAAGCTTGCTGTTCCAGGTGGAAGGAAGCACATATGCTGGTGTGCACACCCTTGAGGGTGTCTCTGCAGTAAGATGCATTTTCCCAGAACTCCCTCTGCCCAGGGTAACTGCTGCTTGTCCATCTGACCTCTAGGTCCCCCTACCTGCCTGGAGTCTGCTGTAAGGATGCCAGGGTGAGGCCCTAGGCCTCTGTTTTCCCCTTCTGTAGTTTACAAGCTCAGGGTCTCCTAACCATCTTGAAAGATGACATTATGTGAGGACACTGGAGAGAAGGACTATGTCTTTATCACGCCCCATGCCGGCTCTCTGTGTGTGTTTCCTTGTAGCAGGAGTGAGTCTTGGCCAGGTTGGGGAAGCCCCTTCTTTCTTTGAGTCTGGAGACGCAGCGGGTCCTGAGTCCTGCAAATTTGGATAAGACTCCATCCGACTTCATCCTCTGTGCTCCTGTGCTCAGGCAAGACCCGGGCGATTACTTCCCCTCCTCTTGTCAGGAATTCTCTCTGATGGGTTCCTCCATCCCCTAAGGAAATGCCCCCCTCCTCAAAATTTAGTGCCCACACTGGAGTGACAATGCAATTTCAAACAGGGAAACATGGAGATGCAGGATTTAGGTTAGTTGAGGAAGAACCATAAGGACAGTGTAGAAAGTCTAGTCTAAGGGCACTGAGCTTCTGGGAAAATCCAAGCTCTAATTCAGAGCTACAATTGCTCCAGAAGAAGTTTCCTTCTCCTCTCACTATCTGGGTAACCCCAGTGCCTTCCTTAACCCAGCTTTGCTTTCTTTCCTTCAGGGAAGACCTGGCCTTCCTGGTATGACAGGACCCCAGGGAGAGAAGGTAAGCCAGACCCAGGCTTCAGACATCCAGGGCTCTGGGCTGGAGGGTGTGAAAGGCCACCTGGACAAACCAGGGTGGGACAGGCAGGAGGATGGGGCAGGAGTTCCGGGAACATAGAGTGACACAGAGTAGGGGTGAGGTGGGCATCAGGACTCAGCTGACAAGATACTTCTGGCTGTTGTATTTGAATTATTTTTCCTTCCTTTAGGAATATAAATGAGTTTTTAAAAAGAAACCACCCTACCTTATCAAATCCAGAGGTATTAAAATGTTTTGCTATTTCAAATGGTTTTGGACTAAAAAAGACCATGAATGAACACAAAAGATGACCTTAGGAACTCTTTCCTCCTTTTCCTCTTCTCCTTTTCTCTCGTCCATGTTTCATACCTGACTTTTATCAACCAAGAATCCTGAGTGTACCAGGCCTTTAATCAACAAAGCCCAGCTTGTGTCCTAGCGTACTGGTCATCTGTGTTGCCATACTTGTCAACAAGGCTTCACCAAGTCTGCTGTTTAGAATTTCTGTACATCAGCCCAAATGGCGGCATGTTCTTTGCAAACTGTAACATGCCTGTGATGACATGTGGAAATGATCACTTTCCTAATAATTTAGAGTGAGGGAGAGCAGTGGACAAGGTAGGTGTTGGGTTTGGGTTGAGGCAGGAGGGATGAGGAAATACAACCTTGTGTGAAAAAAAAGAGACTGCTTCTGCACTACTGGTGGGAGTGTAGATTGGTGAAACCACTGTGGAAATCAGTGTGCAGTTTCCTCCCAAAACTAGGATTAGAAATCTTACTTAACCCAGCTATTCCCCTTCTGGATGTTTTCCCAAAAGAATTAAAAAGCATCATACCACAGTGATATATGTGCACTCATGTTTATAGCAGCACAATTTGTCATAGCTAAATCTTGGAAACAACCCAAATGCTATCAACTGAGGAATAGATAAAAAAAGATGTGGTATTTTTATACAATGGAGTATTACTCAGCTATAAAAAAGATAAACTTGAGGCTTTTATAGGAAAATGGATGCAACTGGAGACTATACTCGTAAGTGAAATAAATCAGACTCCCATATGTTAAAATTGTATTGTCTCCCTAGTGTAAGAACCTGAAAGAGTAAATAAAACCCAAAATGTACAATAGATATTATGAAAAGGAAAGAACTCGCTCAGAGGAGGAAACAACTGGGATGAGGGAAAGGAGAAAAAGAAAGAAAAACGGAAGGGAAAAAAATATATACATGTATGTAGAAGGAGAGCTGGGATAACTGTACTGCTGAAGTCTGGTGGTTTATTGAAAGGAACAGTTAATGCCTAATTTTTTTTCTTTCTGACCAATTTCGCATGCTTGTCTCAAGTGGTCTAAGCAGCAAATTTGAAGGCAGTAATATGCAATATAGCAACCATTGGTGAATTCCTACCATCTTATCTAGTGAAGCTCTGTATTGTTTCTAATATTTTTTTATTCTCTTTAATGGTAAGATCAATCTTGCATTCTTACATCTGGTAATCTGAGCAACTTCGTTGAGGATAGCAATATGTAATATAATGGCCACAGTTAATTCCTATCATTTTGTTCTGAAACCTTGTATCATTTTTATTGTTTTTGCTTTGTTTTGCTTTTGACTATGCTGTTAGTATTTTGCTGCTGTTCTTTTTTATTATTCCCTTTTAAAAAAAGAGACTGCTGTCTTTCGAGTTCCTAGATGTACCATAGGAAGACCTCAGACAGCAGGTTGGAGAAGGGTGGGGAGAGCAGGCTGTGGAGTGCAGGAATCCTGTGCTACTGAGATGGTGGATCAGGCAGCTGTGCCTCTCAGAGCAATCACTCCAGGCTCAGGCGAAGGTGTTGATAGGATAGTCTGGTTCCTGCATGTGCTCACAGTAAAGGAAAGGGCTCCTCTGGCTGTCGATCCAGACAGAGTATATGCCTTATAAATAAATAGATAAAAAGCATGGGCTGAACAAACTTCAGCTGAGGAACATGGCAGGAGAGTATTAGTATCTCCCAGCTTGCTCACTTGGGCTTTTGAATTCTAGCTGAGTTAATTATTCTCTCTTCTTCTAGGTGTTTTAGAGGTGAGATGCATTTTGCTGTGCTATCCTGGTGTCAGGATTTTAATAGGCTCTTGTAGTTTCTTGACAAGATGCTAAACCCTAACATAAATATTTTGAGTTTATTTCAAGTCACTAAGAGGGAACGGTGCTTGAAGTTGGACCTTCTAGGTGATGGCTCTATTCCCCACAGCTGCCTATGTGTATATGCATACTTGTGTACATGTGTGGGTGAGCATGTGCACACAAGGGTGTGGGTTTATTATGATTTCCAACCTCCACCCATGCTTATAGATTTAGTTTTGTGTCTAATACTTGGAAAAACACTGAGTTGTTTTATATGATGAATGCAGCACCGGTTAGGGAACAAGGTTAAGGGCCAGACCACTGCTTCGGGGTATTTGTTGGAATACTCAGGAAAGTATTTCACTCTGAAAGACCAGCGGTGAGACACATCTCAGGTGTGACATAGCCTTGGAGAAAGTCATCAGAGTCACACAGGCGGTCTTTTGAAACTCCTTCTTTCTGCAGATGAAAGACAAGAGACCCCTAAATTAAGGGTCTTATTCAAGATCCTGCAGTGGATTTATTTGAGATGAAAGCTTTCAGTTTTTCATGCCCACATGTCCACCCTAGGCTACTGTTATGGTTTATGTAAATATCCCCCATGAGCCTTGTGAGCTCAGAGGCTTTTGGAAGACAATTGGATTATTGGGCTAGATGCCAACTTGCGAGTTGGAGGTGGAGTCTTGTCAAAAGAGGTCAGGGCCCAGGATGATGATGATGATCTGGAAAGGCAGATCCCCTTCCTCATTCCTCCCTTCATTCTTTGCCTCCTGGACACCTTGATGTGAGAAGATTTCCTCTGTACAGGCCCTCCCACCACACCACAGTACCCTGCAAGGACTGAAACTTCTGAAACACAAGTCACAGTAAATTTCTCCTCCCTTAAGTTATGCGAGTTGGGCATTTTATCTCAGCTTTGAGGAAAATGACTAAGATGATGCAGTAGTGCAAGTTGAACTATTAAGAAATGCAGTTTTTATGCCACATTAAGAATTTTACTAAATTGACCAATGTTTGTATTAGTTATCAACTGCTGTGTAACAAATAACCCTAAACCTTAGTAATTTCACAACAGTTTACACAGTTCTGGGGGGTGGGAATCTGGGATCTGGGTCATTTGTGCTTTGGGTCTTTCCTGAGGTTGCAGTAAATCTGCCAGGTGGGATGTGGCTATGTCAGGAGACCCCTGGAACTGGAGAATCCACTTCCAGACTCAGCCATGTGGTCAGTGGCAGGCCTCAGTTCCTTGATGGCTGTTGGCCAGAGACTTTGCTTCTTGTTACAAGGACTTCTCTACTATGATGCTCATAAAATGGAAACTGAGTGAGAGCTCAGGTTCGGGGGAGGGAGAAATCCCAAAACCAAAGCCTTAGTCATTTCATAACCTAATCTTAATGGCACACAGCATCACTTCTGCTGTTACCTTCAGTCATATACAAGAAAGTGAAACAATGCTGCAAGTCACTGCACAAAGTGTGAATGTTGGGAGACAGGGGACACTTGGAGCCTTCCTGGAGGCTGACTACCTCAGCTGCTAAAATGGAGCATTCCATATACTGGAAAGCAAATGACACTTGAAACATGTATCAATCAATAACTCGCTAAAAGTTTGAACTTGAGAAAGTTACTGAATAACTCTGTGCCTCAGTTTTCGCCTAAGATAGCAAAGATCATGTTCTAGAGAAGAGTTAACCCATATCAAGGCCTTAGAGGAAGGCTTGGTACACAGAAACTCTCCAGCATCTGTTAGCTATAGCTACACAACTGTGTATATGAACAAATGCTGGAATTTTCCTTTGCCTTCATAGTAATATAACGTTGTATATCAAAATATTTTATCTCATCTTATGAGCTTCAAGTGATGAACAATTGCTGATTAGATGACTTCAAAGTTGTTTCTATTATGAAAAACTAATTTCTTGATGAATCATGATGATAACAAATACAACAGTGAAAACAACAGAAGTGGATGTCAGTACTCTGGGTTGCTGGGGCAGGAGGATCGCAAGTTTGAGCCCAGCCTGGACAGTTAGTGAGACTCTGTACCAAAGTAAACGATTACAAATGGGTTGTGGATATAGCTTAGTGTGAAGGCCCTAGGTTAGATCCCTAGTACCTGCAATACACACTCACACACTCACTCACAGGGATGTGATAGTGATATACAGCATAAATGAAGATTTAGTTATGAACCCAAAAGATTCATTATGTAGTCACTTATAACTGTCTCTTCTTTGGCACGTAAAAATTACAGGATGGCTTCTAACGATCATATTTCACCAAAATATTAATAAAGTTTGAGGGAGTACAGGAGGAAAACCTTTGATTTGAGGAGCTGGATTCTCATGGAGAAATGCAGAAGGCCTATTTGAGGTGGGATGTGAGTGTGTGGAAGTGTTCATGTGTCCGTGTCCAGGAGAGGCTCTGGAATGACCTGAAGTGGGCTGTGTGGGCATGTGTGTGTCAGTGTGACTATGTGTAGGGTAGTGGCAGATGAGAGAGAGAAAGCATGGAATGAAGAGATACTTCCAAGGACTCAATTACATGCAAGAAACAAAAACGAAGCAGCAGTAAGGGAAACAGACTGAAGCTTTTTTGACAGGGACATGAGGGGCTGATATTTTTCAAATTTGCTTGATGTGCCATATAGTAAGAAGTGCCTATTTCATATCTCAAGCAGGATTGGAAAGCATGCAGTTGGGGAGGACAGTGGTGTTCACATTGGCTTGGTGTCATAGGGAGGGCCTGGGGGGGAGAGCAGGTAGGGGCATGAGTTCCTGTCCATAGCGTAACCTGTAAGACAGGATTGGTATGTGTGCTTGCAACTCACTCATCCTGCTCCTGAGCCTGAAGGCTTAATAGATGCTCTCGTATTTGCTTAGTGGCTCATTCTTTTATTTGCCAACTTATCACTAAAATCCTGAGTGTCTCCCCAAGCTGGGTTCTAGGTAAAAAGAAAGCTGATTTTTGCAACCCTTGGGAAAGGACGTGAGCTCCAAGGAGTCTGCTTGTGTCACCTGTAGTTACAGCTGACAGTCAGAGAAGTAAAGACTTTGGTGCTGCCACAGTTGATGCATGTGTCATGTGGAACCAAGACATGGTTTCTTCCCTGAGAAACCTGGTCATGGCTCAGCTGTCGTAGCCCAGGTGACCTACCTATGAAGGAGACTGAGACAAGTGTTCATGTGTAATATAATGGCATTAGATGGGGTTGTCAGTACATTTTATTCATTATTTTTTGGGAAAATACTTGTTGAATGCTGACTTTGTGCTATGCCAAGGATTTTGTACAAGGGACACTCTAGAATGTCCAGCTTCTGCTCCTGCCATGCCTAGTGTGGTGCATGGTGCTTGCAGATGTTCACTGGGCAGTGACCCAAGGGCTGCGTTCAAGGTGCACTTTGTTGTGATAAACCGTGAGGGGTTTGTGGGACACCAGCCAGATCTAGGCCCTTGGTAGAATATGCACAGAAGAGAACACATAACTTCTGCTCTTCAGAATCCTGTGACCTTGAAATAGAGAGAGGAATCAGACACCGAAGTCTGGGTGCAAAGACAGTATGTATGATGGAGCACAGAGAAGGCCCTATTTGCCTGCAAAAATGAGGAAGGGCATCCAGAACTGGTGGTTAACCAAAGAAGGTGGCAACTAGTAACTCTACTAAAATGCTTATTCTTTCTGCCCAGGGAGACGTGGGACCTGCAGGACCTCCTGGGGTGCCAGGGTCTGTGGTGAGTCACCGCTGGTGGGATTGTGCTCTCAGATGCTGATAAAACTGAGTCATGGAAAGAGGTCTTACTTTCAAACACAAGGCAGAACTCTTCTGGTGACGTGAGTTGGACAGAAAGACTTCAACACCAAAAATGGGATAAAATCAGAGGAAAATCAGAAGCCATTACACCCCAGTGTGCTGTGTAAATACTCTCAATGGCACGGAGAGTGGGTGACATGTTGAGAAGCTGCTGACACCTTTGCTAACATCTGTCTGTCTCTCAGGTACAGAGAGAGGACCTGAAGGGCGAGCAGGTAAGGGGCTCTTGTGGGGATTTCAGTTGTAGCAGGTGTGGAAAGGCTTAAGCCTTAGAGTGGGGCTTTGAGCCTCACAGGGAGCTTTCTGTGAGGAGCACAAATGCCACACCTGTGCCTCGTGCCTCTGGGACTCTTTGGGGAGGATGGGAAGTAAATTGTGGAATGGATGGGCCATAGGTGATAAGGTGCTCTTCATAGGAAGAGGCAAGTCATGACTAATGCATGTTTTGGCTTGTGCTTCCAGGGAGCTCCAGGTCCAAGAGGTCACCAGGGCCCACCTGGACCACCAGGAGCTCCAGTAAGTCATCCCTCCCTGGCATAGGGTGCGCTCTGAACATCTTCAGGTCCACAAAACCATCGTTCTTTGGTTACTGAGCACTGTGTTATCTTAGAAGCCTCACATCATCCTGTGTGGTAGATGTGTCACCCTCTTGCCAAGAGAGAAACTGGACTGTGGCGAGGAGGCATCACCACCAGCACCTTCTGCAGAATTCAAATGTGACTGCAGGCCAGGAAACCTGCCTAGAGCCTCAGGTTCCAAAAGGCCACAATGAGGGTTGCCAGGTTCTCAGTCTGATGTTACCATTTCCTTTCAGATAACATAGAAGAAAAACACTGAACACTCCTAAGTCAATTGAATCATTCTATAAACATGTACTTTCCCATGTTGCCAACTGGTTATAGCTTCTTGCCAGCTTGGAGCACTCCAGCCTTCAGTGTCTCCCTCTGTTAAGCACTTAATGATGTGTAAATAATCATTTGGAAACATTCAAGGGGGTCCTGTGATCATTTATGATGTAAGTTCAGATACTAAGGATAATTAATAAGAATGCAGGGAACACCGCAGGAGTCCCTGTTTTAAAGTTTCCTCTCCTGGCAGCATGCTGTTGTTTCTTTCAAGTTGCTATATTTTTACTGAAGGAAATAAAGCGGCTCTTACATTTTATTGAAGGAAATAAAGCAACTCTTATTTATAAATGCCCGTAAGTGAGATTCATATGAGCCATTAAAGGCCATTCATCATTAGAATACATTTATGTGGTTTTGTTGGGGTAAAACTAAAACTAGAACAAACTTAGATGATGTTCATTAGAACAATTTCATATCAAAACCTTTGGGTCAGTAAGGCTATTTTCTGTTCCTATATCCCCTCCAAAACTCAGATTCCCAGAGCTGTCTACTATTGCTATAAGTTTTGAGGTCATGCAGTAGACTCTCTATGTTTAGCTTTCTATGCATATATACATATTTATTTCAGATCTATTATTGGCAAGCATTAGATGTTTTACAGTGGTGTACTTTTAATACAAATGAGTCTGCAAGGGTGGGCATGTTATTTTTCATCTTTTAATAAGGAAGCTATTGGTGCAGAGACATTGAAAGACTCACATAACGTCACATAGCTGTTAAACAAACAGGACTTGGAACCAGATCTGTCTGTATAACCCATGTTCTTCTCACCAATGAGTGCACAGTGGTCTATTATACAGGACACATCAGAGTCTTGAGTCACTGTAAGCTCAATCTTGGTGCCCAATAAAGCTGTCCATGCTCTTGAAGATTTCCACTAGGCAAGATGCTTCTCCAGAATGGCATTTAGTACCATACATGGTGGAAGTGATAAAATTCCCTTGACTGGAGTTCAAAAAACAACCTCAATAAAGGCTTTGTTAAAAGAAGAACAGTAATGAGAGAGCCAAAAGTGTGAACTTCTTAAGGCCAGTACCAGCATTTCTCCCATCTTGAAATCCATAGGTTTACTATGTGATGGGAATGTAACACATGCTTGTAGAGAGATAGGCATTTAAAAGGATTCAAATGGGACCTGACTGTAGCAAGAGCTTATAAAGAGTAGTACAATCATGGAAGGCATTTGACTTCATGGCCCTACTCTTTTACTAAGTAGATTTGTGTCTTTGGTAACATGATCTAATCTCTCTAATCCACATTTGATTCACTGCTAACTTGGAAATCATCACCATGAGGGCCAAATGAACTAATCTACAAAGCAGTGCTATGTGAAGACTTACTAAACCTAGTACTGACATCTGTTGTGCTTTCTCTCTCCTTTTGAATCCCAAGAGACATCTAGTTCAGGCCCTTCCACAGGGAAATAGCTTCCTAAATATGCATAGAATGAATCAAGCTGAGAAGCTGGCTTCCATAACTTCTGTGGAGAATGGGAAAATTTGAATTTGTGTTCAACAGTCCCAGAGAGAGGAGACTATATCTTGTTCTTTAAACAGAAACAGCACGCAGCATTCTGCATCCAAATGCTAGCATCTGTCATCTGTCCCCAAGCAGGAATAGGCATTGGTCCTTTACCAATGTCTGGCTGAGCCACTACAGGGCCAGTATTTCTTGATGCTTGAAGTGAATTCACTCCTGCCATGTCTCCTCTCACTGTGGACCCTGAGCTCACACATTTTTTTCTTATATTTGGGTGTGGGAGATACACACTTATATTTCCTGAAAATTGTCTATTTATCCATTTGCATGGTGTTACTAAAAGACCTTGGACCTAAATGTAGCTTGGTTACCTCACACTTAGCATTTGGCAATAGTAGCTGTTAGTGTGCTGCTATTTACTTAAGATGAGGAAACTGAAGTGCTGAGGGCTTTTGTGGCTAAAATCCACTCAGAAGAGGAGACTGAGCCAAAGCTTAAGCTGGGACTCCAGCTGCCCACTCAGCGTTTGTGCCTAGTCCTAGATGCAGTCATTTGGGCATGCATTAGGTGCATACAGGAGACTGCGGGGCTGGGTCATGGCTTTGGGCTGATTCTTCATGTGGTCCTCCCAACTGCTCAGTAGGTAATTGCCTTACCTTGACTTGAGCAGAGCTTACTGAGATTCAATACCATCAAGTGATAGATCTGAGATCCCACAGCAGATACCAGGCAGGGTGAGAAGGCAGGGTGTCTTGGTTACTTTTTTCTCATTGCTGGGACAAAATACCTGACGCCAAAAATGAAGGAAGGAAAGGTTTATTTCGCTTACAGTTTGTGGAGGTTTCAGTCCATACTTGGCAGATTATAAGGCAGAGTGGCACAAGGCAGAGGGCTGCAGCTCCTGGCGCAGAACACAGCAAAAGCAACAAACACACACCAGAGCGGAATGGGACAGGAATGGCCTCAAGCACTCTCTTCCTCTCCCTTACATATGCAAACTATCCACCAGGGCGGGTGCAGCTCTCACACCCTTCAAACTCTAAAAGCCTGCTCCATGGCCGCATGAGGCTTTGCGGGGGACACACAGACATAAACCATAACACAAGGTTTGAATTAGTTGGGTAGGGCACCTCTACTCCACAATTGAAGTTCCTTCTGGGGTTGAAATCGGTCTTTCCTAGAACACTTCATTCATTTGTCCTGTCATCACTGTTGCCCTAGATTCATAATACCCAAACTAGTTGTCTCTGATCCAAGCAGGCTTCAAGGGAAAGGGCATTGGGCTAGAGTTAGGCCCTTGGGGGTCCAGATGATTCTTTTGCATGTGCTTTATGTGAAGCACTAACAGCATCCATTTAACCTTTATTGTGGCTTTCTGTAATGTGCTGCCTATAGCTTTCTCATTAAACATACTTAATTACATCAATAGGTGTTACATGAGATAAATCAGACATATAGGCTTAGATACTGCATAGTTTCTCTTCTATGAGAAATCAAATATATATATATATATATATAAATGAAAATAAAAGATAGATAATAAGAAGTAAGGAGGTAGCACTTTCTCAAATGGAAAGAGGATCCAGAGATGGAAGTAGGAGGAGAGAAGAAAAGGGAAGGGGATTGAAAAAAAAAATTAGAATGTGTATATGTGTCAAATCCCTACAAGGCATGTAGACATTATGTATTGCAGACATGTACTAATTAAAAAAAAATACATTTTTCAAAAAGAAGAGCAAAACAAACAAACAGACAAAAAGCCCTAAACAAAAGCAAAAACAAAATAGATGGGAGAGAATGGGATGTTACTTTTCTCCTGATCTCAAAATTTCCCACTGGGATGTGATGGGGTTTCCCTGCCCAATGAGAAGCAGAAGGTAGAGCATAACTAATATTGTTGAATCCTTCATTTATCCTTTCACCTCTCTTTCTTTCTCTCTTTTCCCTCCCCAAGGGTCTCATGGGTCCAGAAGGGAAGGAAGGGCCTCCTGGTTTGCAAGGTCTCCGAGTAAGTAACCTGTTTTTGTTTTCTGATGTCCCAACTCACCCACACTGACCCCCGATTCATAAGGTCCAGTAGAGGCCACATGCCAGCCTGGGAACTTTAAATGAACTTTGGAAGCAGAAAGAAGGGTTGGGCCCAGCTCGCTAACCTGAGTGGGGATCTCCCGTGGCTCTGCCCTGAGCCAGGTCCTGGGATCTTGGAGAGGAGTCTGTGATGAGTGTGGTGTGTGTAATCACAGCTCCTTGGTGGAGGAAGACCCATTGCAAAGAAAACAAAGACGTGTGACTCATTAGACTGAGGACAGCCAGGGCTTTTTGAAGCATGTGGTGTTTGTGTTAAATTTTGAGTAAAAGACTAAGAGAAAATAGGGGGAAAATGGTGGAAATATGTTAACATACTTTAAGCATCCATATTATTATTGAATATTGTATGTCATGGTATTTAATTTAACATAATTTAATTTAATTTAGCATCTGTCTTCTAATCTAAATTCTGCACATCTAGCAGGTTGTCTCTCACCAGTAAGCATTGTTCCTGACACAATGCTATATTTTTAAGAAAGGAGTTACAGAAACACATGTCAGTGGATGCCTCCTGGATGCCCCATGGCAAACTGGACTGGGAGAGAGACTCACCTCTGTGTCCCTACTTCCCATCAAGTTGGTAGGCACATAGTAGGGAGGCAAAACACTTATGGAATTCTCCCTTAAACTGGTACCATCTTTATTAGTCCACATAGGAAACTGTATATGGGGCACACCAATCCTGAGATGGTATGACAAATCCAGAAACAGTGAGCCTACTGGAAGATTTCATCTAGACATCAGGGGGCAACTGCTCTTCCCTGATGAGTTGGGAGGAAGTCCTGACATCTGGCAGAGGGTGCCTGTGTCCCATTTGTGGCTCTTTAGCTTGAAGGTTCTATAATTTCAGTCAGGTGGGTGGCATTACGTATTTACTGTGGATTGACTTCCTGAGGTGGTTTCATCGCCACATTCTGCCTCTTCCATTCTAAAGCTGAGTGAGCTCAGTGACTTGCTCTTTTATTCCTCAAGACCAACTCCAATCTGATCTTACCCATCACTGTATCTTATGCTTTGCTTTTCTAACAACTCTACCTCCTAGAACCACCTTGAGTCTTCAAAAGTCTGAAGAAACTTGTTTTGAAGGCTAGGTAAAATGTGAAACACCTGAAGGCATACTGGGTGAGAGTCACTTGTTTCAAGTGGAAGACCTTGGATATGTCTCTTCCTGTTCAGCATACACAGTCCTTGTCTCACTTCCCCTTTCAGAGATGAGGTGGTCAGACAGGTTGCCTTCTTCCCTGTAGAGTAGATTGATTCTGGACTTTGAATCATGATACCTCATACTCCTGGAAGCCCTGCTTGATTTCTTGTTGCTGTGTGATCCTGGCAAATCATCTGGTCTCTCCAGCCTTATGCCCTTCTTGCTTCAGTAGGGGAGGCTTGGCCATGTCTGAGTTGTTAGGAGAAAGAGTGTCCAGGGTGGGCATGGACCTTGAAGGGCAGCAAAGCATGGCAGCTATTGGAGCTTTCATTTTATCAACATGCTCTTACACAGTCTTAAGAGAAAGCAACAATCTTTGCCTTTATGTAATTAGTGTTTATGTGAACTTGCTTCATTTTCCATTGAGCAGATGCAGGTATTATTTTTCCTGACATAGTATTACACGGTAGGTGGAACTGTTTATGTAAAGATAACTGTGAACATCTCTTATCTAGATCAGTAATGATGAAACTTTTCGAGCTTTCAGTGACAACAAACACCTGGCTCTGGCACGTATGCCACAGTTTGACACCACTGATCTACATCTTGGTCTAGTTTCCCCGAGTTAAGGATGAGGAGGGTGTGAGCTTGCTTGTTAGGCCCACATTTTCTTGGATGTACTTTATTGGAACTCACTGGGTGTACTTATCATGCATGTCCATTGTTATCCTCAAAAGCACCTTTTGTCTCCAAGAACCATGCCAACCACAAGTGCAGTGGGGCATTGTCCTGGCTGAAGCTTAGCATAGCTGAGAGGCCTTGGAATGTAGGGGAATTCATCTGGTTGGAGGTTTGAGAATTTAAGCAGAGACCCAGTAAAGCAAGCAGAGTGGGAGGGTGGGGTAGAGTAATGACCAGAGCGGGGTGGGAGGTGGTACTTACTGAGCACCAGTTGTGCTGCAATCCTCATGGCAGCTTCCACAGCTGGAGGCCAAGGCTTGATGGAGCACATCTGCTAAGTGACTTCTCAGGGATTCCCTCCCAGGACTGTGTGTTCCACAGCTGGGCTTGGATTTCCCTCTTCCTTTCATTCATGTGTCAGTATGTTAGGAAAGCTCATGTGGAACTCTTGGGAGGCATGAGTAGTTTGCTAAAAGCACTCAGATTTTCTTAAAAAAAAACCTTAAGGGCTGCATTGCCAAACACTGGTCAAGTCAGCTGAGGAAGGCGACACATGTGCACAGCCAATCCAGAGCCTCCCTGGAGACTGATACAGATCAAGGAGGCCAGAGAGAGGAATCTCAGCCAGTGGGACAGCTGCTGAGCGAGGAAGTGGGCCCTGGAAACCGCATAATATTGAGCACAGGTGCTGCCGGAAGTGGCCCTGCAGGGTAGGTAGATTTCCATTTCCTCCAGAATTGGTGGGATGATCATGACAGTCTCAGAAACAAGACTGCACCCTGGGGGAGGCCGCATGCCTCTGTGCACTTGGCTCTGCCCAGCAGCTTTGCCTGGATTTCTGCTTTTCCAATTGGGAGTGACTGAAAAGGTTTTGGACTAGGCTTCTCCTCCAAGTCTGCCAGCACTACACAGGAGACTCTCAACCAGCCCCTTTCCTTTTGTGTGTCTCTTTTCCTTCATCCTTTTATTATGGTCTTCTTGCCTTTTTCTTTTCTCTGCTCCTTCTTTCCCCCTTCTCTTCCCTGCATTAGTATACCTGTTCAACAAAAATTTCTTTAGCATTGGCAGGCTGCCAGGTCTTATTCTAGACAAGGGAGGAGGATGATCCCTGCCGTTATGCTACAGATCTCTGAGGTGCAGAAAAGGGACATAGTGGTCAGTTAGCACAGAAGCAGATGATGCGGGACAGCATGGAGAACTGCACACTTGCTGGGTTTGGGCCAGCAAATCCTTTAGAAAATGAAAATGCCAGAGACTGAATATCTTTGTCAGAGACAAAGGGGACTTCACTGGAATGGAGTGAAGCCCTCTCTGACTCAAATCCCCACATTTACTGAGAAACAACAAAGGGGTAGTGTTCTGTGGAGCACTGATGTTTGTTTTAGGTAGCAAGGCAGGCAAGCAAGGAATAGTGACAGTCTGGCTGGATAATTAACTTTTATCTGATTGTCCCCTGGGGAACTTCCTTGTTTTTTCATCTCCTCTCCAGCTGGCAAAATATCCTGTCTTCAAGATTTTTTGGCTTCTTGGAGTCTTCTGCCTCCTGAGTCAACTCGAGCGGACATTGACTCATTGGGTGTCACAAGGAACCCTAGACACACCTGAGCAGGCTCTTAGAAGTGAGGGGCAGGCTAAGCCTTACTGGTTGAGGGAAGAATACAGCAGACATTGAGCAGGAGATCCATGTGACCAAATTCAGCAACCCAACAGAGAACAAATAGAGAACTCACGAGCCATTCATGACAGTACTTGCAGACTTCTGTAAAGACTAAATTTACTCTGTGTGTGGAGATGGGGTGGGGGTATTTTATGCTTATTACGAAAACAATGCTCATATGCAAAAGTAGAAAGAATAGTGAAATGAAGCTCTGTGTATGCAGCACCAACTGCACTGCTCATCAAATGACTGAAAAGTCTGTTTTATGTATTCTAGCACTCATGCCTACCCACTGCTGGAAGCAGTTTTGCAAGTCACATAATTTTGGTTCTCAATATTTCAGTACCACTATCTCCAAAAGCCTAAAGATTTTAAGAGAAACAAAAGCATCAAAGCATTATCCTACCTAACTCTGTGAAAACCACTGCTTGAAGTTTCATCAAATATTTATCCAGTGATCCCTGTGTTTCCGTCTTGTCTGTTTCTGGCTGAGCTTTGCTTACTCTGGCGTTCTCAGTACAGCAGCGGCAGGGCCACCTACCTTCTCAGTTCACCCCCTGGGCCATGGTGCTCAGAATGGATAATGAAGAGGGAGGCTGACTGGTTAGGAGCTCCAGTGATGATCAAATGAGAAAAATGGCTTCTCAGCCAGGGCTGGGGACTGCCAAGATCAGAGGGCATTTGAATGTCCATTCTAGTCCCAGTTACACACCAGGCAGTGGGCAGACAAAAAAAGGCAGAACATCAGCAGAGAGGCATGGATCAAGGGTTATAAGGCAAGACAAAAGGGCACTGATATGAGGTATATCAGGCTCTCCTCTTGTCCAGTTTTCCCTAGGGTATCACAGATGATGAACAGGGTGTCTTTAGACCCTCTGGGTGAGTCCTTTCAATAGTCTTGGGTGAGTCTATGCTTCAGATGTGTTCCGTCATGTGACAATTGCTAGTTTCGTGCCTGCAGTAATGGAGAAATGAGAGTAGAAGGTAACTGTGAGAATGTTGGCTTGCAAGCAGCTTCCCGTTCTATAATTCTCTGGCTGAATCAGGAAAACTCGGGACAGAATGACTTACTCAAAATTATATCTCCACTTGCCGCACTATGACTCTCATTTCCTTCTCATCAATTTCAATTGAAATATCGCTCAGAAGAGCTCTTGAGTGCAGCACTGCACACACTCGGGCTGCAGGAGGAAAGGACCGGACAGCGACAAGGGGCGCAGACCTGTGCATCACAACATTGAGACTCAAATATGGGCTGGGAAAACGAGTCCAGGCCCTGTGTTTTAAAGATTAGCAGGAGGCTGAAAATTTCATCACTTGGCAAAACAAATCCATTCATTTTGAACAAAGCCAGTGCTTTTCCACAATAACATGGTAAAAGGGGGAGAGTTGGGAGCTAGGTGTAATTGAAACCATCCCCAGAGCTGCGGAAGAATCC